CGCCTTTACTATGTTTAGATATGTGCCTCGTATCCCTGATCTCTCCAAGATTTTAAACATGAATGGATGTTGGATTTTGTCAAATGCCTTTTCAGCATCTAAGGAGATGATCATGTGGTTTTTCTCCCTCAGTTTGTTTATGTGGTGGATCACATTAATGGATTTCCATATATTGAACCACCCTTGCATGCCTGGGATGAAGCCTACTTGGTTGTAGCGGATGATATCTTTGATGTGTTCTTGGATTTGGTTTGCAAGTATTTTGTTGAGTATTTTTTGCATCAATGTTCATGAGGGAGATTGGCCTGAAATTCTCTTTCTTTTTGGGTCTTTGTGAGGTTTAGGTACCAAGGTGACTGTGGCTTCATAGAATGAGTTTGGTAGTGTTCCTTCTGTTTCTATTTTGTGAAATAGTTTGAAGAGTATTGGTGTTAGCTCTTCTTTGAAGGTCTGGTAGAATTCTGTGCTGAAACCATCAGTGCTGGGCTTTTTTTTTTTTTTTTTTTTTTTTTTTTTTTTTTTTTTTTTTTTTTTTGCATGGTAGACTTTTGATACCTAAAAAAGGCTCAAGTACACAATAAGGACATTTGCTCAACCATGTTTGTAGCAGCCTTATTTGTAATAGCCAGAAGCTGGAAACAGCCCAGATGCCCCTCATTAGAGGAATGGATACAGAAATTGTGGTACATCTACACCACAATTACTGAATATTACTCATCAGTAAAAAACAAGGAAATCATGAAATTTAAATGGTGGGATCTGGAGAAGATCATCCTGAGTGAGCTATCCCAGAAGCAGAAAGATGCACATGGTATATACTCACTCATATAGACATATAATATAGGATAAACCTACTAAAATCTGTACATCTAAAGAAACTCAAGAGGGAGGACTCTTACTAAAATGCTCAATTCCTATCCAGAAAGGCAAAGAGGATTGACATCAGAAGAAGAAGAAAAGAGGGAACAAGTCAGGATCCTGACACAGAGGACCTCTGTAAGGCTCTGACTTGCAGACTATCAATGCAGATACCGAGACCTATGGGAAACCTTTGGGCAGAGTGCAGGCAATCTTAGGAAAGAAGTGGGAAACAGTAAGATCTGGAGAGGACAAGAACTCCACAAGGAGAACAACAAAACCAAAAAATCTGAGCACAGCGGTCTTTCCTGAGACTGATACTCCAACCAAGGACTATGTGTGGAGATAACCTAAGACCCCTGCACAGATGTAGCCCATGGCAGTTCAGTATCCAAGTGGGTTCCACTGTAATAGGAACAGGGACTTTCTCTGACAGGAACTGATTGGCCTGCTCTTTAATTACCTCCTCCTGAGGGGGAAGCAGCATTACCAGTCCACAGAAGAAGACAATGCAGCCCCTCCTGATGAGACCTAATTGACTAGGATCAGAAGGAAGGAAAAGAAGACCTCCCCTATCAGTGGACTTGGGGAGGGGCATGCATGCAGAGGGTTGAGGAAGGGAGGGATTGGAATGGGGGAGGGAACCATAGGGGGGATACAAAGTGAATAAAGTACAATTAGTAAAGAAAAAATAATTTATTTTTTTATTTATTACAATTTATTCACTTTGTATCCCAGCTGTAGTCCCCTCCCTTATCTCCTCCCAATCTTGCCCTTCCTCCCTCTTCTCCTCCCATGTCCCTCCCCTAGTCTACTGAGAGTGGAGGTCCTCCTCCCCTTCCATTTGACCCTAGCCTATCAAGTCTCATCAGGACTGGTTGCATTGTATTCCTCTGTGGCCTGGTAAGGCTGCACCTCCATCAGAGGGAGTTGATCAGAGAGTCAGCCACCGAGTTCATGTCAGAAACAGTCCCTGTTCCCATTACTAGGGCCCTGTTCCCATTACTAGGGAACCCATTTGTACAGCCACTTTGGAAATCAATCTGGTGCTTTTTCAGACAATGAGGAATAGTGCTACCTCAAGATCCAGCTATACCACTCCTAGCCATAAAACCAAAATATGCTCAAGTATACAACAGGAACATTTGCTCAACCATGTTCATAGTAGCTTTATTCGTAATAGCCAGAATCTGGAAACAACCCAGGTGTCCCTCAAAGGGGGAATGTAGACAGAAATTGTGGTACATTTATACAATGGAATACTACTCAGGAATTAAAAACAAGGAAATCTTGAAATTTGCAAGCAAATGGTGGCAACTGGAAAAGATCATCCTGAGTGAGGTATCCCAGAAATAGAAAGACACACATAGTATATACCCACTAATAAGTGGATATTAGACATATAATATAGGCTAAACATACTAAAATCTGTACATCTAAAGAAGCTAAGCAAGGAGTTTGCTGGGTAAGATGTTTAGTCCTCATTCAGAAAGGCAAATGGACATCAAAAGAGGGAGAAAACAGGGAACAAGACAAGAGACTACCACAGAGGACCTCTGAATGACTCTACCCAGCAGGGTATTGAGGCAGATGCTAAGACTCAGCCAAACTTTGGGCAGAGTACAGGGAATCTTATGAAAGAAGAGGTAGATAGAAAGACCTGGAGGGGACAGGAGCTTCACAAGGAGAACAACAGAACCAAAAAGTCTGGGCCCATGGGTCTTTTCTGAGACTGATACTCCAACCAAGAACGATGCATGGAAATAACCTAGAATGCCTGCAAGATGTAGCCCATGGCAGCTCAGTCTTATTTTTATCTTATGCCCTTTGTTGTAGAGCAAAACTCCATTTCAAGGCACCGTAATTCATTGTATTAGTTTTTATTGTAGACTAGAATTACCTTGCTCTAATGTGAGGATGTAAATTCCACAATGATGAATGTCATTCTACCAAAATGATCACCCTTTTTGGCTACTTTTCTAGAAGATTCTAACACTTTTTAAGATAAGCCAAGAACATTTGTGCTAACATTTCATAAGTATTTCATAACTCTGAACACCACATTTTTTTATTGATTGTTAGGGAAGAAAACAGAGCAAATGCTGGAAGCCCTAGGTTTGATCCTCTGATCAACATGGAAACCATTTGGAAACCATTTTAAAAAGCTTTTAGCACAGGCTTTCAGTCATACTTGCTTTTCTTTTTTGAGTTTTTACCATGTCTATTTTCCTAATGTGGATTTCTGCACCTCTCAACAATCCAGTTACCCAGTTAGACCTCAGCAACTTTAGGTTATATGTCATGGTCAGTCAGACTGTCTATCCTTCCTGACCCAGGGCCAGATAAGTGGTGGGAACTCATACATGCTTACTAAGTTAAGGGGAAATTGAATGGATGCTGAAAGGAGACACTAGACAGGTTTGGGGTTTCTGGGTTTCCCTGAAGTGTACAATTGTTCCCTTTGTCTCTATACTATTTTCCAAGTAGGCCAGTGTGGCTGAAGCACACTTTTGAATGCAGGATAAGGATTATACTAAAAAAGAACAGGAAGAAGAAAAAGAGAAACGTCTCAGAGTAGGAGGAATGGAATGTGACACAGAGGATGCTTTAGCACCAGCCAGGGATCACAGTGTGTGGATGTTGTGATGTTGGCTAGAGGGTGGCCAATCACTATGGATCTCTTCTTTCTTCCCTCCTTTCTCTTTCTTCTCTCCTGTGTGTTTTTCTCATTCCTCCTAACCATTTTGTGGTCTTTTGGGAAGTCCCCACCTTTACTGAAAAGAACCTACAAAAAGCTTGTTGAAGTTTTACGGGGCATGGGACTCTTACTCCATTGTAAGCAGATTGATGGATGGCATCACCTCACCATCTTTGTGTAGTTGTGGTCAACTGTATACCTAGAAGCGTGGGACTGGGTGGCTTGCCCAGGGCCCTGGGAAATACCTGCATAGACTCTGGCTGAGTAGACCTGGGGAAACAGCTGGCTCTGCATTCAGTAAGAGTCTAATCCCCATGTTAGGAATTCGAGAACTATATGTACATTCTGTGTAGAACACTATGGATTACATTTTTTAAAAAAGACGTTCCTTACTAGTTAGAAGATGAGAAGCTTTAAATTTTAAATCAGACTCAATCCTTTAAATAGAAAAGACTAAACCGACACAAATGAACTGTGAATATATTTGCTAAAGAAAACAGTCATGGCAGTACGAAGGGGCATGTCAGCTCACATAGACCCCTGAACTGCTCATGTGATTGTCTGTGAGCTTGCTGTGTGTAGTTTAAAACCAGCATCAAGCAGAAGCAGCCTCCTGTGTTTTTTTAAGCTTTGTCTCTTCTGTTAGTCCTGTCCACGGATATAATCAACCCATTGATTATTTTGGTTGTTTCATAGTTTCAGAAAGAAGCTTTAATATTTATAAATGATTGCAAACACTGAGAGTTATAAATGGACATGTAGAGAGAATTTTACGTGTGATGGTTTACAAACTACTGGCATTTAAAATGCCACAGGTAGAGAAGAAAGAAAACATTCCATGCAGTGTTCGCAATTCTTTCTCTCTAGATTGATTTATCTATCATCTATCTACCTGTCTGTCTGTCTATCTGTCATATATCTACATACATACATATATACATACCTATATCTATCAATCATCTATTTATATCTATATTTATACATATATATTCATGCATATCTCTATATATGCTATCATCAATCAATCAATCAATCAATCAATCAATCTATTTTTCTATCTATCTATCTATCTTTCTAACTGTCTATCTATCCATCTATCTATCTATCTATCTATCTATCTATCTATCTATCTATCTATCTATCTATCTATC